GGCAGCGGCGGCGAGAGAAATGGCGTCGTTTGAGGCCAGCGAGGTGAGCGAGGAAAGCGAGGAAGGGAGCGATACCGTGGTGGAAGGAATCAAAACGCGAGTGGAGACGCGCTTGGTCTGTGGGCCCTCCAGTTGCCCTCTTGAAGGAGGGGGGGTATCTATAGAGGCAGTATCAGTCGTAATTCCGTCGGCGGGAGCGTCGACGACACCAGCGGGATTAGCGGGCGCGGTTAAGTCGAGGAACTCTTCGGCATTCAAGTTGGCGAAGGGGATTTGCTCTTGATACCGAGAGAGGCTTCGAGTGGGGCGTGGCGAACCACGACTGGAAGGGGCGGGCGACAGGGTGGATGTCGGGCAGGACAGGTATATGGAGATTCACCCTGGCGGGCGCGGGAAGCAAGAACTTTGTGCGGTGTTAAAAAAAAAGTGTAAGAGACCCGTGGGTGAGGTCGTCTCCACTAGAACGGTAACAGGCACAAATAATCTTCGTTGCGGTAATGAGGACTAAAGAAATATAATACAAGTATACTACGTACCTTCGTTGCGGTAATGAGGACTAAAGAAGGCAACGAAGGTGGGACGCGAAGTGTTAAGTACGAACGTCCAAAAGAGGAAATGACTAAGCAATGTCGTGACTAATTAGGAAGGTGAGAAGGAAGGTGAAGACGGTACGGTTACACGCATGCCTCGATCACCCCATTCCCTTTCGGTTTGCCGTTATTCCTGCAGAGACTGTTAGTATTAATCGCATCTGCCTGACAGAGTCAACCGAATTAGCCATAATTCAACCTATACCATGAGAGCTATGTACCAGTGCTTTTCGCATTCCATCGACCGAAGATGCATTCGTGACGGACTGAAATGTCTTCTTGGAAATGCGCTTGAGGGGAGATATATCATGAGAGGGCTGCATAAAGCTGCTGTAGAATGATTTGAGTCATTTGACCGGCATAGGGCCAACAATGTGGTCGACAAGGTTGCCAGGCATTTTTGCCTAATAATAGGTTCGGTTTGGGGGTTCAATTACCGCGACGGGCCTCCAAAATGGGATCGGAACGAATACTTGGAGTGGTCAAGTTAGAGAATGAATCTTGTGTTCTGTTCCGAGCGGATGTAAGTACGACGGGGTCATATAGAACACGCTATGAGTTGCAGCACAACTTGAACTGACTCAGAGGTGCTGGTGAACGTTGAGCGAAACCGAACACAGGTCCAAGGGCCAACAAAGAGGCGCGAGCCAACATAAAAGATCTTAGATCGTCGCGGTCCCAGAACTTGCAGTTGAAGAACCAAAGAAAAAAGAAAGAAGCAATGACGAGAGTGGGATTCGAACCCACGCCATTTCTGACTAGTAAAGTGATACAATCACCTGAAACTAGCGCCTTAGACCACTCGGCCATCTCGCCATGCGTTCCTGACTACTATTAAAAATTATAGTGAGCAACGTTTCCGACTAACGATGGCAGTGATATGTACCGATGTTCAATGGCGAATGCAATTATATACAGGAGTACTGTACTATGTATCATGCGGGAGTATGCGAGAGGGGATGGTATGCAAGCGTAGAGATATAGACCAAATAAACAGACCTCAATCTTGGATGCACTTCAAAAAGAACGAAACAACAGCGAAATGAACACTATGTCTTGGGCAAAGAAATGTTCGGAATGGACGATTGAGAACTCAACGGCGAAGGACGGGCTTGCGTCTGCCGCTTCATTTGGGCCTCCGTCATCTTGTTCCTTTGTTTCCTCACGTCGTCGTCTTTCAGCTTGACCGCGAACGCTTGTTCGAGAAGAGCGTCCGCGTTCGGAGGGAGACAGGGAAGTGGTGGGTGCAGGAGGGCGGTGAGGATGAAGTCACGGTCGGAGGTGTCCATGATGACGCGTTTCAGGCATGAGAAGATAGAGATTCCGATGCGGAATAGGAATGTGACTCCTGCAGAAGGGTATTAGTATACGTGAGGGGAAGGATGTGTTAAAGCCTACCTTCAAATAAGAATAGATCCCAAACACGGTACAAATACTCAACAGGAAGAACGTCGACAAACAGAGTCGTGAACCTAGCAAACGATGAGTACTCTAGAAAGCACAGCTGCGTTTAAGGGAGGGAGGCTCACCATGAACGGCACAGGTTGATTGGATGTATCGTCATGTCTACAAAAACCTTCTTCGCGACGGCAGCATCATTCGCCTCCACAGCTTTCCCGAACAAGGTCGCATCAACGTCTAGTTGGACGGTGTTGATTGCAAAGTAAGAGCGAAGGTGGGTGTTCATAAGCGAGATCAACGTCCAGAAGGCGTCTTCCTCGGGAGAGAGCTGGAGTAGGTTACCCGCAATCGACACGAGAGCTACAACGAAGTTCAACAAAATGGAATCATTTCAAAGAGACGGAATGGCTTACCTCGATTGTATTGGACATCCGGCACCATCGTAAGGTACGCCTGGAGGATATTATTCAACGAGCTCGCCTGCACCTGAGGATGCCTCGTCAAGTAATGCTCAACATCCCTCTCAATACTCGCACTAGCAGCCACCCTCTCCCTCTTGCCCAACTTTTCATAAATCCCATCCAGCCTCTTCGCCCGACTATCCGTCAAATGCGCCCAGACGAGATACCGAACGGATGAAGGAACACCTTCCTGTAAGAGCTTCCTGATCTTCTTGCTCTTACGCGCTTGAGAGGAAGGGATAGTGGAGATCGCAGACATCCATCGTAACTCGCGTTGTCGATGTGCTTCGATCTCGGCTGCGTCCGTCGGTGCTGTAGGTGCAGTGATAACTGAAGGTCCCGACGGGTTGGGAGGAGGATGTGCACGTGAACGGGAAGTTATACTTGATATGACGGAGAATGCCGGGCTGTTGGATCGACCAAGGATGCTTGAAGATTCTGCGTATAAGGGACTAGGAGGGACAGGCGAGTCGTCGCCTGGGATAGATATGGTAGGTTTGACAAGCTCGAAATCTGTATCCTTCACTTGAACAGTCCTAGAATCCTCAGTGGGCGTCAAGCTCGAAGTCGGACTACGTTCGTCAGGATGAACGCGCTCGGTGTTCCGTATTCTTAATGTTGGCAAGGACAACTTCGACCTCAGAGATCCAGAGCGTCCAAGAGGGACGGTTCCTGTAGGAGGACTAGACATCGTAGGGGACCCAATCGTAGACCTCGCGTCGCTATAATGCGATATATCCGTCTCACCAGATCGACGGCCTTGTATTGACGATCTTGAGTGAGGGGACGTATCTCGTTTGATAGAACCTCGATTCGATAGCGTCGAGCGACTATGACGAAGTGCACGTTGACGCGGTGGTTCTGGGGGAGCAGTATGCGGAGTCGCTTCATTCGCCGTAGAAGCAGCTGGAGCGGGTGGAGACGAAGATGAGGAGGAAGCAGGCGTATGTTGTTCAGCGTTTTTAGCAACTTGCAACGGAGGCGATGTCTCATTTACGTTCGCAGTCGTCGACGAGATTGAGTTCGTGTTCGCAACTACAGACTTTACCTCAGTCGCACTCACACTCTGAGACTCATCAGCAGCCTTCACGACCACACTCTCCAGACTCGGTGCAGCCTCAGCCACAATAGGAGGACCCGCCAACGGACTGGAAGGTGGTTTCGGTGGTGACTTTGGCATCGTAGGCGACTTCGGTGACTTTGGTGCCGTTGGTGACTGAGACTTCACCCCAGGACCCGTCGGCGTAGGCGTAGGCGACGCCACGATATTATTGTGCGACAGAGAAAGTGGAGACGGTTTGTGCGTGACGCTTCGTGCAGTTACAGGACCATGGGAGTGGGAGACTGTTGCGCGTTGTGGGGTCGGGTTCACATTTGAGATCGTTGCCGAGGTGGATTTGGAGCGTTTGGCCATTTGGATGGTCGGCGTTGCGTCTCCAGACTCTTTGCCTACGTCGTCCAAGCTATTTCGGAATCAAGCATCAACGTAAGTATAGATATCACAGAAATAGACAGATAGATGATTGATGGAGGGTGGAAGCGAGAATGGGATGAAAACGCACCTCGTCCGCTCTTTATCCTTCCCCAACTCGATCTCAACCGTCGTCGAATCGAAACCGGAGAACGACCTCGACCTAGGTCTCGCACTCGGAGCCTTGGGGAAGAAATTCGCTCGAGGGATGACCTTACTTGATCCTTGTCCCTCCGCACTCGGAGTAGGACTTTGCGACGGAGGAGGAGGCTGGACTTGAGAAGATAAACTATTACTACTCCTCTGTCTCTGCATCAACCCTGGTAACGACGTAGACGCAGGCGACGAAGACGGAGACGGGAGCTGAACAGGACTCTGCGCAGGCGACAGTACCGGCGACACACCACCACCCTCACCTGTACCCATCCCTACACCCGTACTCCCCATAGACACAGACCCACTCGAACTAGAACCAGGCGACATCGTAGCAGCCCTACTCACCCCTCCATACCTCAAATTCACATTATTAGCAGGGACATTCTGCGGCGGCTCCAACGAGAACGTGATAGGCACAGGACCCATCGAAGTCGATAAGTCTTGTGCGACTTTGCCGTAGATGGTCGTCATACGTTGTCGAGCCATCCCCTCGGGACGTGAGGCCAGGGATAAGGCCATGTGTATGGCGTGCAGGACTGATCCGGGTGGTGGTCCGTTCGGATTGTGGTGAGGATTTGGGTGAGGATATGCGGTAGAAGGAGATGAGGAAGGAGGGGGTACATGAGGAGGAGTATATGGATGTTGCTGCTGTGAACGGTTGTACATGGGTCCGAGAGGTGTTGCGGTTGGTTTAGGAGCGTGCGGGTGAGGCATGAACAAACTTTGCCTTGACCCAGGTCCAGGAGACATCGGCGTCGATGGAGGAGGAGCAGGAGGTGTAGACGACGAAGTCGAAGTTGCAGGGTTAGGCGAAGGAGGGGGTAATGGCGACGGAGGTTTATTAATCTCCAACGGCCTCGTCGGAGCCAAGTTCAAACTCGGATTCACAGGCGAAGGAGAAGGAGGAACCTGATTATTCACATTCGTAAATGACGATTCACCCGTGGGCGATAACGGCGTATACGGCGGCGGAGGGTTCTGGCTCGGGTTCATAACCACAAGTTGACTTCTAGCTTCCAACGCTTTCTTCTCAGACACCAACGGACTCCCAGGGTTCGAAGAAGACGTATTATTCGAATACGTCGTGTCCATCGACTTCTTTGACCCGGGTGATGCGAGACCTAACAATATCCGATCTTCCTCCTCTTCGAGGTCGTCCATTACGATAGGTTGGTGCGAGAGTCGGTTTCCTAGGTCGGGGGATTTACCTAGGTTCGAGGAAGAGTTGGCTGATAGTCCTAGCCCTAAACCGAGTCCGAGTCCGAGGTTTGAACCAGAAGAGTTGGAAGGAGTGGAAGGGCGCGATTCTCTCTCCATCTCGATCCTCTGCCTCAACGCACTCGCGAACCCACCTTGCGTACCCTGCACACCCTGAATCCCCTGAATCCCCTGAATCCCCTGTACACCTTGAATCCCTTGTACCCCATGCCCAACCCCACTCCCACTCCCATTAACAACCGCATGACCACCAACAGCAGAAGGCAACTCAACAACCTCACCCATCGGCGAACCCACCATACCCATACCCATACTCGTACTCATACTCATACTTGTACTGGCCGTAGCAGGCCCAGGGGACCCCCCAAACGTAGCATGCAAAAGCGGCGAGTCCGACTTAGTCGTTCCCGTGAATTGGTCACTTGGTCCGTTGCCTATCCCTATCCCATTCCCACTTCCGGGGGCTGAGAAGGATGAAGGTGAGGGTGATGCGGATGGGGAGGGGGAGGTTGTTGGGATTGAACCAGTATCGGGACTGGGGCGTGAATTGGAAGTTGAAGTGTGGTTGGGGTCGGGGTCGGAGGAAGCTTGGACGTTGCGTTGGCCGTGGGACGATGTGATCTCGGGTGCGAAAACGAGTGGAGAGGGCGGTTGACGTCTTTCCGGGCTTTTCCCAATAGCCATGCTCGAAGTCGTATTCATAGGAGTAGCCACAATCGAAGACGCAGACGTAGTAGCAAGACTCAGCGTAGGCGTCGACGCACCCACCGTCGTACTCGGTGAATTCTCCATCGCAGACGATCCACCCGAACTCGATTCAGACGAGCGAAGGTGAGGAGGTCCACCTTCTTCCCTAGGTAAAGTCGGAGAATGTAAAGGCGATTCCCCCCTTTCCCTTCCCCCGAACCTAACACTATCCAAACTAGGTCTCCTCGAGCCATCAACAGGTACCGGCGGTGGTAACCCCAATCCAAACCCCGGATTCGCATGCATCGAGTACATACTTGCCTTGGATAGACGGGATAACTTGGAAGCGACGGAGTATCGGGAGTAGCGGTAGTTATCGTATATATCTGACGCTCCCTCCCATTCGTCTCTGTCGTATTCGG